GGGGGGGGGGGTGAAGATCTGCAGGACGATTGATTATCTGGCAATTAAGGAGATATTCTCGTATCAGACCCGCGGACGTTGGTTGAGAGCTGCGGAATATCCTTGAAGTTCCTAATGATTTAAGAATTGGCATAACGCGGTTTGGTACTCGCAAAAAATAATTATTAAATCTCCCTAGGAATCCTAGTGACAAATGACAGTTTAATTTGATCCCATAGTATCCCGATTAGCCTTTTCCCCCAGATTTCAAGTCTCCAATAACCCACATTACGTTCAATCAATCTTCTGCCGTGGAACCATCTATGGCTCTTTAACACACAAATATATATATATATATATGCATACTTCTATAACTGCATATAGATTCAATCTAAATCCTCCGTCTCACGTATGTTACAGGAGAATCCAGAACCGAAGTGAAGGGACTACAATATTTCCATCAGCTGGTCCATACCCAAGTCACCGGAAGGTCCCAATCGTGTCTTAAACGGTTCGTGCGGCCTTTGCTAAGTCATAAGGAAGAAAAGGTCAGAGCGCGACAGATACGCGATAAAATATGTAATAAATGAATACATGAAATAATATATATCCAGTGGTTTTTTTATTTTGGCGATAGGAGAGAAGAAAGGATACCGGCGGAGTAGGAGGATAAGGAGTAAAAGGATACAGGAGTTTCCCAGCATCCGAGCGAAGGAAGATTTTTCTCGCGCGTCTCCTTTGCACGGGGAAATTTCCCCAGGCTGATTGGGACAATTATGTCAGCCAAGCTAAACGGTACCGGGACGGTATCACCTCTGGACAGAATGGCTAATTTCCCGGCGGACGTCAGCTAACGCGAAGCGCCGGGAAATATGTGACGAATCTCGAAGCCTGACAAACATGCTGACTGCCGACCTCGAATCGAACGGCTTTATCACGACGAACCTGACTGCCGTGCTGCGCCAGGTCGCCTGCAATGGGACCTTCCTCGACTGCTTCCAGGAGTGCGCCCTGACCCTGGCCAACCGGGAGAGTCACTTCTGCACCGTCGAATACGGGACTACGCTCTTCTGCAGAGCCTGCGACTATCTGGACTGCGACCTCAATGTTTCCCTGGTGCTGAGCGGACTGGATAAGGTCGAGGGGGTCTTCCTCTCGCAGATACAAAAGTTTCACGACTGCAACGACTCCGCTGTACTTGGAGAGGTACATCGGCGATTTTTTTATTTACTCCGAGGCGCCATTACGGTTCGATAATGCAAATGGAATATCGATGTTATCGAAAGAAACTAAAAACAGGCGCGAATCGTTGTTAATTGTTGGTTAAGACCAGATTGTTACTATCGAAGAGGACTCGAGGGTCTCTGACTGATTTGGATCGCGGATGAATACTCGTGATTGAGGTTTGGGTAGGTTGAGATGGGATGATGATGAATGAGGGTGAAAGATTAGGAGGGGGGGGGGATATGCAAAATAAATTTCTTTTGGGTAAACTAATTTAATTATTGACGTTGGAGCGAATTCTTTTTTTTTTGTTTTTTTGTTTTTTTTTTTCAAATTTTTTCATCTCATTTTACTGATTACACTTCGCTCTCGTTTCGGGGTCATTCGGATTCTGTTAGTAGATTTGGGGGTGACTGCGATATAATTTTGGGAAAAATGTTCCAGCAGGTTCTAGAATGTTCGACGACCGATAACGTCACTTTGGATGAATTCGGGGTGACCTGTTCCCGTGCACCTCGGCCGAGCTGGGTCATCAAGGGTCGTCGCCTGGACTGGAGCTTCCTCTTCGTTGCCGTCTTCATAGCTGCTGGCGGTCTTGGCAATATACTTGTCTGCCTGGCAGTTGGGCTTGACAGGCGTCTTCACAACGTCACCAATTACTTCTTGCTGTCATTGGCGGTGGCTGATCTTCTAGTGAGTCTCTTCGTTATGCCGCTTGGTGCCATTCCTGGCTTTTTGGGTGAGTCTCATGTTTTTATGTCACTTGACAATTATTGTCATTTCTCGCGGCTATGGCTTATCAAATGCAAGCGCTGTTTCTTAGGGACCTTGCGGGATCATTGTGGATCGATGGAAGAATTTCACGTGGGTTACAGACAGCCAAGGGATTGATGTATAGTACGAAAAGTGGCAGATGGCCAAATTCGTTTTTAGTTTATCATCGCGAAACACTTCGGCTACCTTCGTTCATTGAGATACATTTGCGCGCAGACACTGTGTCTCGCGAATTTCATTTGGAGCCGAAACATCTATGTATATGCGCGTGCGACGTGAATGTAGCAGCAAATTTTTAGCCCGCATTGATATGTCTATATATACTACGTGGCATACGTAAAGGCTGATTCTCAGTGGAACGAAAGAGGCGATTTGAGAATTCGGCCAAAGTCAATAAGCTATTAGAACCAGGTCAGGAGTAAGCCGTTTCGTGGATCTTAAAAGAGTATTAGGTATCTGACCAGGTAAGGTGACATAATTAGACAGCAATGGCGGCTCTGGAATTAATTTTTTTTTCTTCAAGTTTCCTCCACTCAAATTGGTGCTGCACGGATACGAGTCAACGTTAATCTGTAGAGTATAGGCAGCCATTAAACGAATTGACCGCTTCTCCGTCTGGCAGCTAGATGGCGCCAGGTGCGCGGAACAATTGAAAAAGAAGTTTGAGAAAATTGAAAGAGAAAAAATGTTGGAAAAAAAAAGTGAAAATTGCGTAGGTTGCGCCCGGTTCACTTTGCTGGAACGATTATGGATTGGAGTGAGTTTCTCAAAAGCCTTCTTACCGAGTTTTATTCTCGTTTTTACCTGAAAGAGAGCACTGGGCTGTCAAAGGGCCGGAAAAGTCTGTTATTTTGATATATTTTTGAAACGGGACTCTACGCTTTTCCGCTGTCAGCACACGAGAGTGCTGTAAATCATTATTGACAAACTCGAGGTTGATTCGGCCGTGCGCCGAAGAGTGAAATGTTTTTCTTTTCTTTTTACGTAAATACAGTGTACTCAGAAATTCTTAATTGACGCGCTACTGCGTGATACGTGAGATCAGAGAATGCATTAAGGAACCAGACTGCAACGGCTCCGTCCTATTTTCTTGCACGTATTTGCCTTTTGTCAAGCGTCCTGAAGTGGGAATTTTGAACGACTCGCCGCCGCGACCGAAACGCATCCTGCATTCAGCGCGATTCTCGGCTGCATTCGGAATCGCAGTGGAATGCAAGCTGCGCTTGTCAGTGTTAACTTTCCGCATGGCTCGTTCACAGCACCGTTATTACCTCCACTCGGTAAGGGGGAAAAAAAGAAAAAAAAAGAAACTTTGTCTCCTGCTTCAACGGCACTCGAACTAATTAATTTTGTTCGCTGAGAGACTATTGACAATTGCGAATTTATCGTGCATCTTTATAGCAGTACAACCCTTTTAACGTACTTTTTCAACTACCTGGAGAAAAGGGCCCTATTGCGCATGCGTCCCGTAGTATTTTTTTATTCGCGATAAATGAAGCGTCAAAAATGAATTTTAGACCAAGCATTCTTTTTCAGACCAGCTATAAGAGATGGTATACGTGTTTAATGAGAAAACCAAAATCTAGATCTTACCTGGGTAAACTGATTTCTAGTTTCCTCCAGAATGCAGAACGTTCATCGTCAGAGATGCGTTTGGTTGGCTGCTAATTTTAGTTTTCGTATAATCTCAAACCTCCCCGATTCGCTGGAACTTCCGTAAAGACAATTTTCATCCGTGACGCGTGTCCTCGGATGTCAAAAATTATTTTCGACTGTACTTACGCGCATAAACGAAATTTGTGGGACTTCGAGGAAAACCCGGCCTGAAAGCCACACTCGGATCTTCCCACTTTGCCGAGACATCCTTCGGGCCGGGGGGAAAGAACAGTCGAGAACTTTTCAACGGAATAAACTCTGTCGTCTCCTGCCACGGCTTCTCTTCGCCTCCATTCATTTCATAACGCAACATCACAAGTAAACTCGCATACGTCATACAGCCTGACCTGGATGAAAGGAGATAATTTTTTCAAAAATATTCTCTTTATATTCATAAAACCACGCGCGCATTTCCCACAATAAGGAAAATTCTATATGCACGTGCTAAGACGTGTCCTTGAAAGCGATACATAACCTAACTGTCTATTAAAAGGTCTAAGGCAATCTAAGGGGCGCACTCAAGCAGTGATAACTTTAAAAAAAACTTAAAGAACATCTTTCACCCACAGAACCGTCCGGACACCTGACTTTCGTGTTCGCGCGAACAGCTTTGTCCTGGAGAAATTTTGCCGTTTCAATCACGGTTCACGTATCATCTACGTGATCGGCGAAAAGTGTGATTTGGTTCGTGAAAGTTTGCCCGCCATTAACTCGAAAATCAGTGGGCAGCTCGAGCAGACGCTTCGATAATGGATATAACGGCTGAGGGAACGCAGTTCTAAATGTTCCGGGTAGATGGCGCTGAGTGTAACCGTTAAAAATCGTTCGGACGAGACTTCCTTTACGAAGGCGGGAGAGGTGCCGGTGCTTCGCGAAGCTTTTGATTAACGACCTTCGACACGTTCCTCGTGCTGAAATCGGTCCTCGTTACGCTCGGCAAAGCTTTTATTCGATTAACTCCTTTCACGGGAAACCCTTGATCCGCAAATTTCGTTCCTTATTTAATTAACGGTGGCATTATCGTTTGCCTACCTTTTCACGCCGCTTCGGGCTGGTTGGCAGCAGTGGGCTGACGCTCGTGACGTTGCCGCGGGAAAAGGACAAGAAATTTGATCCCGTCTGTCGGGGATTTACGTAGACTCGTCTAACGTGCATAATTTGGGAAATTGATTTTGACTCTTTTTTCGAGATCCCCATTGGGATTCGCGTTCGGTGCCTGCGATTGAACGATAAGAGAATCCAGTTGGCGCGAGAGGTTAGGTCAGGTTGCAAATCGAAATGTCTTCTTCAGGAGTGCCACTTTCACGAACCGTCTGTGTATGGTGTTTTCTGTGCAAGGGATGTTTATTCGAGCTGAATCTTACGCGTGAATATTTTTATATTGGACGTTAAATTTACCAAAAAATTGCTTCTGCAGTCGGTTGTCCGAAATGTGGATTTTCGTTGTAAAAATTTTTTATCAATTTCCTCTGGATATCGTTGGTTTTGAATTTTTGAAAAAATTCGGCTTACCTAGTTACGAAATACAGTCTGTTCCGTGAAAACCCTTTTCTCAGAATCGACTGACACTTTTTCCACGAGCAAATAAACGAGTGAACAAAAAAAGTAGGGAACAATAAAAGAACCTTAACGCTCAAGTGGCAAGACAATTTCTGGATCAAATGAAAACCCATTTAAAAGCTCCAAACTCGGTTTTACTACTCGGCGAGATCGTGACTCGCTCCAGTCGTTATTCGACTATAAAAATCCAAAAAGAAATAAAGGAGTCGGTATCATTTATCCCAAAAAGTAAAAAAAAAATATCGATAAATCCTTTCAACCATGCATGGCGTCATGAACCACGTTAAATGTACGTTAAATCGTGACCCACGTGTCGAATGACTATAATGATACGCAAATTGTAACCCCATTCGGATTGCTGGGGTGAGAATTTCACAGATTCCACCCCCTTTCATCCCCTCCCGGCCATGCGGCTGTTTTCCACTCGAACACTGAATAACGGTAATACGATTTCAGGTAAATCCCATGAAGGAACGTTTATTGCACGAAGCAGAATTCTAGTTGACGTAGTAAATACTGTCAACCCTTAAGCTAACCCAATCTCAAGGGGTAGTTAGCGGGATAAACTGAAAAAAAAGCTTTGTGATCCAATTCCTTTAATTCCTTCAGTCTTATTAAGGCAAAAGTTAGTTTCTTACTTGCCACTGTAGCTACGAGACTCTTAACTGTCACAATTATCTCCACTTTACACTCGCCTGGATAAGAAGCAACCCGCGTTCTCAGCTTGATGAACGTTTCAATGTCAGCGACGGAAATAGCACCAGGTGCGCCGCTCCATGCCGACGCAACAAGTTCAAATGGCGTTACGTGAAAACTCGCACTTGCTACAGGATCATGGAATGGCAAAGTTTGCGTAGCTGTGTAAATTTGTACTTGGATGGCACAGATCAAGGTCAGTGTCGACCCAAGTCGTGGAGAGACTGTTATTGTGTGACTGTTAAATTTAGCGATTTTTTTTACAGGAATTATATATATATATATATATATACACACACCTGTATTTTATGTCAGGATTTTATTTCCATCAAGCGACATTTTTCTTTTCTGTCTCTGCTTTCTTTACGACTAACTCTTTTCCCTTCTTTTTATCCTCTTGCACTTCTTTTGTTTCCCTACTCTTCTAGGTTGATATAGGAGCTTTCGCCGCTTGTGAATTCACCGTAACGAAGTTCACGGTAACGTCTCGCAGTTTGCTTTGCAGATTGGCCGCGTCGCTGGTTGGAGACGACTGGTTCGTGTCTGTACTTTTGATCCTGTGTGCTAAGAGAGAGAGAGAGAGAGAGAGAGAGAGAGGAAAAGAATAAAGTAAAAAATGATTCTTAGGTTAGAATCTTATTTCTTCCGTAGCGAGATATCGATTGTTTATTGATTTTCAATATTATATATTCTTATTGTCTCCCTATTTTTACACTTTTTTTTATTATTTACTCCACGTAATATTTCCCTCGTGTTATACGTGCATTGCTTTTTCATTTTGTTGATAAAATCCTCAAAAGGACTTACTTAACAGTCACTGACACGTTGATCCTCTTTTTACCATTCTTTCAATGCGATCATACTTCTTTGACTTGTGTATTAGGATTTTTATTTGGTTATTTAAAAAAAAAAGAGTATCTCAAATATTCTACTTCTCTCACGAACTATTCTCCGGTTTCCTTCCACTCCCACTCTGCGCAATCCTTCAGTCCGTATTGGATTTCAGGAGAAACCAGACACCAAGTGTAAGCCTCGCAGGTATATTGCCCTTGGGTTCAACGCAGCTGTGTTGTCTTGTGTTGTCTGTGCTATTCCGTCCGTTCGTTAATACCCTTGACAGGGCAGTCGTGTTACACAACTAGTTTCTCGCTTCACAATTTACAAAGTGTTTTTCCATGTTAGAGCATTGCGGACTAGCGCGAGCTGCAATTTTATACGAGGAATGTTAATTGGAGGTTATGTGTCATACGTCCGAATGAATTCGACGACCGAATCAGGGAAGACAAAGGTTAGTCTTTTTCCGTTATTCGTATATTACATTGTAAAAGGGCCTATTATCGTAATTTTGCACTGGAGGGAAATGCGAATATGGAAAAAGTAGTCGCAATCGTGACTGGAAAGTCGCCAAACGATCTTTTTCTGACATAAATATGAAGGCTGGTTCCCCGTTATCGCATTTCAGGCTTTCACGCTCGACGCTCGTCGTTGCATGGGTTAGGAAAGTCAAAATCAAATTCTTGAAGAAACTGTCAGATAAGAATAGCGTTCTTTACTAATGAAACTAGTGAAGTCTGGTGCATCAACGTTAACGAGTGGAATTTTCCGTTAGACTCGTGACCGATATACGTATGTTTTACTGTGTGAGATACGTCTTGATTTTCTATTTAGTCGAACGACCAAGCAATATCGTTGAAAGACCGTCCATCATAATCACAAAGCTTCATTTCTATATAAAGGATTCGCCTACGTGCAAGATGTGTGTGGGGACGAGGCGGGAAATTTGAAAAAGGAAAATAAAAATATCCTACAGTACTGTTCGACGCTGAGTCTCCCGCGGCCATATTGGATTTATAAATAATACTATCACCTGACGTATACTAAGGCGAATTGAAAAATTATATTTCTTTGTCGTTTTGGCAATAATCGTGTTTCAAGTTTACAGCGATCGACGTGGAATCTATAACGAGCTCTTATAATAAATATATCTGTGATTAAAAGGTTAGGAATTTCATTCTGTGTTATTGAACGGGAACCAATCGGCGTCAGATTGTATCACAACCGTATAAAATTTCTTGCTGATTACCACCAGACAGCCTGGTATTTATACGTCATGTAAATATGCTTATTTTGAATAGGCCACACTGAGTAGACGTCAGATGCAATTCGACGGCGCACAGGACGCTTTGACGTTTTACGGCGGGCGTATTCTGGCGGCTTTTCTCGTCGTTATTTTCGATAATCAATAATTGTCAGTCACATCTTATCGAATTCAGTGTTCGTTCGGAGTCACTAGCTCTCACCGAGACAGGACTAGGCGAACTGCTTGACATACGAGCTGGAATTGAATTTTTAGGCAGAGACGTTCAATTTTATTGGACAACCAATAGATAATGACTATATATATTTTTTCACAAGCACGATTCAATTGTCTTTCGCACAAAAGTGCATAATGTTTTACAACTGAACCTCCGAGACAGTCATGTCTAACCAAGTCACTCTTTTGACCAAAGATCCTCCCTCAGAGACATTGTTACCACGCGAAGTCGTCTCTGCTATATAAATCAAATGAACCAGCCGACTTCACTCTGTGCAATGCTCCTTGATGGCCCCCTATAAATTGATGTCTAGAAATATTCTACTGGATTCCACGAATAACCCTCCTGCACTTCACTCGCCTCCACTCTTTTACATTTATTTATCGATATTCCGATATCACTGTAAAGTCATCTTCTTATGCTCTATCCGTCCAGATAGAAATCCGCCATACCCGAGATACACCAGGACGAAGTAAACGGAAATGGAGCGCGGCGTATTACATCGGCTCGCACCGTAGTTCAGTGAAATAGCAAAGGATGGCGCGCGGAACGAAATAACCGTTAAACCGCATTAACTGTCGGGATTTTTCCACGCTGAAGAAAAATACCAATCATAATCTTCTGCCCTTACAAACATATAATTATTGGATCAAGAGTAATTTATTCTCTAAAAAACAGGTAAATCCCAAACTTAGA